TTTGTTCAAGGAATTAAGTTATAATATGCCAGTAAAAAGCAGTCGCTAACTACCCACCATGATTATCATGGCCTGTACCACGTGTACTAAGGATAAGAAAAAAAAAACTATATAATATGCACATATGTATTTGGTTTGTCTTATTTAAGCAATCATCTATATGGCAACCTATACTTCCTGATTAAAAATCTGTATTGAATATGCAATTTGAAAAATAAAACAAATAGAAAGCTTCAATGGCATAGGTTTCATGTACAATTCCAACTCCCACTTGTAGATGCAAGTAATAAAACTAAGTTCAGACACTAAGTACAAACTGTTTCAGCATATATGTAGATATAGATGGAAAATTTGCCGGGAGGAAATTGATCCATAGAAGCATAGGGCGCCTCTCCCGTCAAAATAAACGTCAAAACCTGACGCCACCTTGCCAGCAAAACACCTCTTTGGCAGATTGTGAAGATTCCATTAGATCCTGTGTGGATCTCATGGAATAAAGTCCGCCCTAGACTGACGAGGGCCATTAGCCTGAAACCATGGCTTCTAAGTGGATGCTTCTCAGTTTGCCAAAGCTGGTGTTGTGGCTTTGTCACCGACCCAAGGCCGGTAGTTGCGGCGACGGTCAATAGATGGCGTCAGTTTGACGTTTATTTTTAAGGGAGAGGTGCCCTATGCTTCTATATGTAGATATGTTCATCATACAGAAAGTACTATTTATGTTATTTACATATGAAAACAGTACACAATTAAATTTGTACTTGAATCAGGGGATAAATGAAGAAAAAAAGGCATTTCCTGATCGTGCAAATTCATTCGCAACTTCTAGTTGCATAATTGGATGTCTTTTTTATGTATATGTATATATGTTGTATGCATACTTCCAGTATATACAATTGCAAACCATGAGTATCATGGCCTGTACAATGTGTGACCAGGATAGTAACATTAGATTGGTTGATGAACTGAAGGATTTAAATCTGTTCTATGATTTGCTAAAAAAAGTTTTAACCATCATTTTTTTTTTCAGTCAATAAATATTGTAACTATAAAATATAATACTGAATTTCAATGAAGTTAACCTAAAATGGTACCGTGCAAGTACAAAATAAGCTGATTACAAATGTAGCCATGTACTCATAGCACAAGCAGTTGTAACTTTCTACCGACCATGATTATCATAGACTGGTACTTCAAGTGAAGTCTACTTATAGCACATGATAAGAAAATCCTAAATGGATAGTGTATAAAAAAAAAACCTTTTTTTTTTTACGAAGTCGATGGCAATCCTGGTATCAATTTCTTTCAGCAATGCACAGTTAAGAAAAACATGTGCAATACAAAGTAAGTTTTCAATCCAAAATAAATTTTATTAGGTTCAGCTCAAAAAGAGCAACCTAAATCATAATTGTGTGTGTGAACATAAGCAGAAGTAAATATATAATTATTTGATATGGAATTTATAAAAATTGAGCAAAATAAAAGTTGTCTTTAAAGAGAAAATAGGCTTTAAAATATATATTTTTGATGAATACTGACTCAAAAAAAAAAGTTTTCATACATAAGTTTCTAATTCTAGGTTAAACTTATAATTTGTATAGATGTGATTAAATGCAAATGTATATTAATGCTAAAACTAGAAGTCTTAAACTATTTATAATTATCTATAAGCTAATATTTATAGGGAAAGGGATGTTTAGGTGCTTGAAAAATATTTCAATACTTATCTTAAAATGCGTGTTTTTGATTTTTAATACACATGATTTAATATATAGGGTTAGCAAGAAATTATAATAGCAAATTTGTATATTTGTGAAATATGACTATTTTAAATTTTTGTCATTACAAATTATCGTTTGTAAAATTTCAATTTCAAAAAATAATGATACACATAGCCACGTTGTTTTGAAAAAAAAAAATGGTGTCCTTAAATTATGAATCTATTTTTTAAAAGATTGTAAATTACGCATTTCTTGATAAATACATGCAAAGTCGGCATCGCTTAAGCTCTTGAAAAATTTGAAATGTTATTCTTTATATAGAATCTAAATTTCGAATGGCGTTTGTTTATTATCTATAGGCTTTTTTTTCCCCCTCTCATGGAAATATCGCAGTTTCTGAATTAACACTAATATACATTGCGAGATTTGATCTAAACACGTGGCTCAAGGCCGTTTGTTTTGGTGGTGATTTCACCTTTTAAGAGGTAAAAACATTTTATAATTCCTCTAAACATATATGGTATCGGTTACCTAAATTATCTTTAGGCATACTGTCGACAAATTGTAATTAACGGGTGGAATCTTGTTAATTCGAAACCCAGTGTCAGCTTTATTTGATGAACCATCATAAAATGTTTGTAAACCCTATAAAAATATTAAATTTATATATATGTACTCTATGTACACAATCGTACCTAGTGTGTAATCGATTACTTTTTTTCTTTTTCCTTTTCTTATCCTCAAGTTTCATTTCAAGAAGTCAACTGAACAATTACGCAATGCAAAAAAAAATATGATGATAAGATTTTGTTTAGGAGAACTCGTTGAATTTTTTTTTTTATTTAATATATTAATTTTTAATATTTTATAACATATTGTATTTATAATTCTTAATTTATATTTGTTATAAGTTTATTTTATTTTAGAAAATTATATATGGTTCTTTCATTTAAAAATACTTAATCTAAGCAAAAATATTTTATAATTTATAATAAAAATAATATACTTTTATATTTAAAAATGAAAAACTGCGAGAGAGAGATAAAAAAGATTTCAATATTTTGAAATGTGTATATATGATTTGTATATTATCTTTTATCCTTTCCGCAAGGCCTGGGGGGCACCTCTACTTCACCAACTCGCCATGTGTAAATAACCAGGACAAGGTGATTAGCTGTCCTCTAATGTAATAATACCTGTAAAATGAGACGAAATAAATAAAAAATATATATATATTATTTTTTAATTTTGTGAATAATTTCAATGGAAATATAGAGTTGAAATATAGGTTTTTTTAACTTTTAATTAGACGATTTTAATTTAGACATTTTTCATTTTGATTTAGACATTTTTCATTTCAATTTAGACACATGGACTGTTTAAAGAAACGTACACGAGTCTAAAAACCTATATTTGAAAAGAAAGTAAAATACATTTGAAGAGGGCGACGAGATAAGAATAATCCAGGAGAGCAGAACCCAAACTACCTAAAATATTTGAAGAGAATAGTTGAAAAGATTTTTCTTTATTTACAATGAAGCCAATGAACTGGCTTTGGCCAAATTTTGTCCAAATGGCACTGTAGCTGTAGATATAGTTTAACAAATAGGTAATTAAAAATTGAAATGTTTAAGAGCTTAAAAGTAAAGAAGAAGAAAAGGATCAGGGTTCACATTTCTTAAAATAAGAGGCACTTCGGCCAGAAAAAGTTTCATTTTCTCTAGTTTCGACAAAATGTCATAAAAATAAAGCATTTGGCTGGTCAGGCAACCCATATCTTCAAGGATTCATTATATTATGAAATATATGGGTTATATATTTTTAATGCAAAGCCAATTTTCTGTAGTTCTGCTACAAGGGGCAGCACTGGTAGGGCTAATAAATAAATTTTAATAGTTATTAATTTTGAACAACGTGTTTTTGAAACAAAATTTAAATACAATTTATTTACCTGGTTATAGGCGCGCGCGCCTGCCGAAAGGTATATAAAATACACCTGGGAAATCCTAAGGTGAGGCTGGGTCTATTTAGCTAGTTTTATATCTTAACTAGAGTTCTCCATTTTACTACAATCTTCCCAGAAGCATAACTCGAAGCCATGCTCAGTCATCTGCAATATGGAAGCCTGGACCATAGTCTATTTCCAAGACTACCCAAACAGAAGATTCGCGTTCACTCCAATCTACCATAGGATATTCCTGTCCAAGATCTGTCTTGAAATTATCATTTCTAACACCCATGCTGGTTATGGTCTCGAGCTCTGACATGCAGATCTTGTCCAATATGCCCTTACTGCCAGGAAGTACTATGAACATTAGTTACCTCCTTTTCAACTGTCCATCTTTATGTTATACAGGTTAAAAGCAGATCTACTTCTTAAAGTACAAGGACTAATACCCTCTACATCTTTGGTCATATTTCCTGATCACTTCCAGCCTGTAACTACCTGGTCAACTAGTTTACCGAAGCAAGCATATTACCACAAACTACTTGAAATGTTCTTTTAGAATGCAGTACAGCCCGGGAAGTTGGAGATTTGCACTTGAAAAATCTGGGCAACATTTATTTCTCTTTTTTAATTAGCAGAAGGCGAAGGACCCGGCTCACAACTCCACTTCCCCCTAGAGTAAAAGTTTGCCAAAGAAATATTATTATATAAAAAAAGGTATAAACTTTTTCACAGATCTACCACAGGTACACATATAGTTATATTCAAAGAATCGCTTTTTAACTCAAATGAACCTTGTGTGTGTCTTAAAAAAAAATAATTATAATTATATATCATTATCATCTTAATTATAAAGTAGTCTTTATATATATTCTGGTAAAATCTCATTTGTTAAATATTGTAGATTTATTTTATATAATAAAAAAAAAAAGCACTCAATGAATATATGTTACTCTGTTTCACCAAAGTAAAGTTGTCAGATTTTGTTAGCACTCTCTCTCTCTCTCTCTATGAAGATTAATATATAGACTATTCAAATCCTATATAGATTAGAGCTCAATAAATAAAAACAAAGGAAATATTTTTAATTTGAGAAAACGATGATATTTTATTGAATTTCTATAATCACCACTACTAATGAGCAAAAATAATAATAAATGATAATTAAAATTCGATTAATAAAACATTTATCATTGAATAATTATGATATGTAGATAGACGCAAATGTTTGTAACATTATTTTAAAATAATAATCAATATATATTAAAACATAATGTTCATCCTTGCGTTCTTTTTTGCAAATAATTCGTGCTTAACCTTTTCAGACGTGGTTGACTATAACAAAGCACTCAGTTGGGAGAGCGTTAGACTAAAGATCTAAAGGTCGCTGGTTCGATCCCGGGTTTAGGGAGTTTTTTTTTTTTTTTTTTTTTCATACGCCACAGAAAATTATTTACTAACCAATCTTACAATGCCGGCTAAGAGGTTCATTGCTCAAATACTTTTTGTTTTATACCGGGAAAATCACATAAAAAAATATAAAGAAAGAGAACATATTTTGTCCATTTTGCCAAAGGATTAAAATATCCGAACTGGAACACTATATATTCGAATGTACGTCTCTAACTATGGAGTATAACAAAGCAGAAATTTATAGAAATTTTTAGCTATAAGGAGTAAGCATATCGACTTTTTTTACAAGAAACTCACTCTCAGAAGCAGTTTTACTTATTGTTTATATGTATTACAGAGGATTTTATTTTTCAGAATTTACAAAAAATTCAAAATGCACTTTTTGTTTTGTTTTTGATTAGATGAATCTTTATATGAATATTATATATATCTTTAACTTTAGCAAAATGAAGAAAACACCTCACGTTTAACTAAAGATGAGAAGAGAGAAATTTCATACATCCCTCCCTAAGAATAAAGAATCCAGTAAAGAAAGAAATAAACTCTCATTCTCGGAAGCCTTATTATTTATATGTATTGCAGAAAACTTTCGAAAGTTTAACTATGTTAAAATATAAGCTAGTGCATCCATCTGTTGAGTAAATTTTAGCTAATAATGATTCTGATAATAATGATTTATTTCCCATACATACACCATTCGAGCTATGCAAAAATTAAGTCACACCCCCTTACTAAAATTATCCCGAAACATTCGTGTTTGATACTATTATTTGTTATTGTTGTTGTTGTCGTGTCCAAAGAAGAGTCTCAGATGTCTCCATACATCTCTATCACAGCAGCAGCAATATCCACTATCTTGGGTGTGTAAAGCTGCTGCTCTGGGTCTGAGTCAATTTTCTGCAAGGCTGCGGCCATTGCTGGGCATGAGAATATGTGAGTAGGTGTTAATAGTATTATTTCTTATATGTAAATAGCGCTGGGTTACCTTATACTTAATTGATGTCAATCTGGCCTTGTCTTTATTCTTTGCGGAAAATAATTGCTTGAATGTCGCATATATAAGCAGAATCGTTCGAAACTGTATTAGAACTAAAAAAAAGCGGTCTGGTATATTTAATAGGTGAAACCGCTGGGAAGGTTCACTACTGATGAACAAAGCCCTACCACTATTTATCATCACAGAAAGGACAGTAGAAAGTTTGTTTTGTGTACAAGAAACATTGGAAAAATATTGGGATGGCGATTTTTTTTTTCATCGCAGTAAGGACAACAAGGGGTGAGTTTTGTATGGTATTTAAAAAAGACATCCATGCTTTATATAGCTCTTAAACCCAGGATGAACCTCCAAAAGAAGATCAAAATACTGAAAGAATATCTCGATGAGAACTTAATGACACTAAATGAGTCCAAGTCAAAGATTATGGTGTTCCGTAATGGAGGTAAACCCTCAAATAAGGATAGATGGTTCTGGAATGATAAACCCATAACAATAACTTCAAGATATACATACTTGGGATTCCCTCTGACACCAACAATAACAACTACTCACCCGGCAAATTACTTTAAAGGAAAAGCACTTACAGCAATTAACGCCACACACCCAATATTAATAAAATCAAAAGCAAAGTCAATAAATTTATCAACCAAACTCTTTGATACAATAGTGAGAGCTGTCCTGATGTATGCCGCTCCATTGTGGGCAACAGAGCATAAAGACTTATTGGATAGTATACAAGACATATTTATCCGTAGGTTTCTGAATCTGCCCAGATACACTCCAGGCTACATAATCAGATTAGAAACCGGTCGTATCTCATTGAGTGTAACAGCTTTAAAATTAACCCTGAAGTATTGGCTGCGGGTGTTGAATATGAGCAGTGACAGATTGCCGCGTATATGTTTTAATAGAACACGGGAACTGTCTAATGCCTCGGGCATACCCATCGGTTTCATTAAAAAGCTCACCAATCTGCTTAACAATAATGGATCCCCTGCACTTGTTTCCTGTGATGATCCTGAAACGCTGAGGAGCGCGATTACAGGGCTCTTAAAAACAGCGGCAGACCAATCTATACAAAACGACCTTACAAGAATGGATAAATCTAAGCTATACTCTCACTACAAAGACATTCACATATCTTTCATGACGGAGGGATACCTTTTAGGGGATCTTCCTTTCCCGGTTGTAAGACTACTCGCACAAGTTAGAATACTTTCAAGTTTTTTTAGAGAAAACCACACCAAGATGCTCTGCGGTGAGGACCCGACTTGTACCTTCTGTAATTCAAAACTAAAAAATGAAATCACTCACTATATTTTTGATTGCTATGCTCTGAAAGAAGAAAGAAGAACCCTTATGCTCAAAACTGGGCAACTCTGTGCTTCACTTCCATCAATAATTGACAATATGACTCAGAATAAGTATATTGCTACGGCGTTTTATGGTTTCCACAAGTCCATATCTCAGAAGAAGGCCAAGTGACACTCACTCCTCACTTTCTTACTGCTACTCTTTTTGTGTTGTTTTTCTTGCTTCCCTCTTTCTCTTTCTTGTTTTTTTTTCTTTTTCTTCTGTATATATCGTTATTTCCTTTGTCTCACTGCTTTGTTCTTATGCATACCTCTGGTGAATCCTGTATAGGGTCAGGGACCCTGAATAAAGGCTTTTTGTTGTTGTTGTTGTTGTATATAGCTCTTAAATTATTTTAACTGTAATTTAATTATGTTACGTGACATTGAGGTTGTTAATACAAAATAAATACGTTGTTATATCATGACAAAGGTAAGTGTTGTATATATATTAATTAATTGTTACCACAGAGTGTGTGTAAGCTCACAGGTAAATAGGCGTTAACCGAAACAGAAAAAAAGTTATTTGTTCAATATTAGTTTTCCTTTTATATTTTGTTCTCTCTCTTGTAAATAAATAAATATAATGTTTAATTAATAATTATTGGAATCAGTTTCATTAAATATTCTAAGCAAAGTCAACAGTTAGCATTCAGTCAACCGAATATTGGCAATTAAATACTTTTTTCAATTCAATATATGCCTTTTTTATTATATAAATAGATATAAAGATATATGTGATCAATAGTTATCTAGAAATTATTTGAAAGAATAAATAAAATTAAGGTAAATGTTTCTTTCAATTTTAATTTCGCAAGTTTTCGAACAAAATTCTGCTCTTCAACGGGCTTCTTGATGATGCTGGGTTCTTGGAAGAGCAGAAATTTTGCTCGAAAGCTTGCGAAATCAAAATTAAAAGAAACTCTTCACCTTAATTTTATTTATTCTTTCTTTTTCAAATAAAGATATATAGGATTTACTTTTAAACAAACATCTTTATTGAGACAAAACTTTAATAAAAACTAAGACTGGCTATTGTTCTCAACCTGTTCGTTGAACGAGTCATTCCTCTAATTTTTTAATATAACCTACTTATTTTTTTCACATACTTATATATTAAAAAACGAAGGAAAAAAAAAAAAAAAAGATAAAAAGATCAGGTGTTGAAATCAATATTAAAAATGGCATATCCTGACCAGGAGGAGCACATGTGCTTTACAGAAGGCAGAGCGCCATCTGGTGGAACAGAAATCAACTAAACATTGATTTAGCCTGTTCCCTGATATTTGGCCAACCCAATTTCTTGATAAATCAAGAAAAGCCATCCACGAACGCGTTTCGCGCTTTTGGCGCTCGTCAGCGTGGAGTAGGCTGAACCACTGCGACCAAAAAAGATTTTTTGATTCCAGTGGCTTCCTGAAAAACCAATACTTATATATATTAACTCCTTCTATATACATAATAGTTATTAGAATATTTCGACAAACTTCTAAAATAAAGTTTTTCTATCATATTCTATGAATATTCCGACGTTTTTGACTATTTAATGCAATAGAACCTTTAGAAAAAGTCATAAAAACGATGATGATAAATACCTATATACGTATTTTACCTGTTAAAATACCCATTCTAAGAGTCTAGCATCAGTATCACTATAAAAGGAAAACCGAAAAAATGCAATATAACAGCGGTATGGTAGATTCAACTGACGAAACCGCTGGGAGGGTTCACCACTGAGGAGCCAGATTCTCCCATTAATATTTCATATTGCAGTACGGGCAGTAGAAAATTTTTTAAAAAGAATCATACGCGTCTATAATAGTTTAGAATTTTCATAATAGATGTGTGTTTATACTAATCATTTTTAATAACAGGGGGGGGGGGGGGGAGGCTGTGTGTGTGTGTGTTTGTTGGCGTGCTTTACTGTTTGCGTGTGTGTGTGAAAGAGGAAAAAAAATTGATAAAAGAGTTCATAAAAAAGTATTTCCTGTTTGGGAAACTGAATGCCTTGGCGTCAGATACAAATTAGAAGTTGTTATGCAAGGCGTTCTTTTTACAAGCTTACAATTTATCGACTGCGCGCGCAATCACGTGATGTGATATACCGCAATGTAGCTGAAGCTTTCTATTTTTTTTAATAGACTTTTTAAAAAAATTATCATATCATTTTTTCTTTGTTTTTGACCGGTCTCATTATTTATTGGACACACCTTGTATACGAAAGTCCTTAAGAACAGCATCCAATTTCACCATAAGGAAAGGTTTTTTAAAATTAATTTTATCTATATTTTTACTTCTATTTTTATATGATAAATGAGATTATTAATGATTTAAACATTACTCAAAGTCTTGTTGACTCTTAAAGTGACCTGTTATACAAGGTAATTGTAATATATCAGCGTGAAATATTCTGTGAATATTGTTTGCTTCTGTAATTCACAAGTTGTTATCATCATAGTTGTTTTGAGTATATATATAATTTGCATTATTTTCTTCTTTATTGCCTGCCTCGCATCTGCCTCTTCAAAGTGGATGAGGAGACTTCCAACTCCACCATTGAAGAGACGCTGCTGGGAACTCCTGCTGTCAGCCAACTAACTGGGGACAAGGTGGTGCGCGTGGCGCACCGTTCTGCACCCAGAAACGGGACCT